CCTCCTCCAGCCCCCTCCCCACCTCCATCTCCTCCATCCAGCCCATCAGGTGCTCCAGGTCGCGCAGGAGCCGCTGCAGCTCCAGGTGCGCCCGGAGCCGCTCTCGCCGCGCCGCCACCTGCGCCCGCAGCGCCTCCCAAAGCGACACCACGTGGTCGCGCCGTGTCGCGATGCCGCCCATGTCGTGATAGCGCTCGGCCTCCAGCTCGGCGGCCACGGCGGTGACGGCGCGCACGCGGCTGCCGTAGGCGGCGATGTCGCTCTCGATGGCCTCGTGCTTGCGCAGCGCGGCCTCGACCCCCCCCAGGGACCCCCCGAAATTGTCCTGGGAGGGGGGAAAGAGGGGTGAGGGAGGGGACACTGCCGGGACCCCCCCCCGAAATTGTTTTGGGGAGGGAAAGGGGGGTGAGGGAGGGGACACTCCCGGGACCCCCCCGGAATTGTTCTGGGATGGGAGAGGGGGGAGAAAAGGTTAAAATTGGGGGGAAACGCCAGGGACATCCCCAGAATTGTCCTGGGTAGGGGGAAAGGGGGAGGTGAGGGAGGGGGCACTCCCGGGACCCCCCCAAAATCATCCTGGGGTGGGAGAGGGGGCAGAAATGGTAAAAGGTGGGGGTGACACTCCAGGGACATCCCCAGAATTGTCCTGGGGGGAAAAAGGGGGCTGAGAGGTGACAAAGGGGGGGAGGGGGACACATCCTGAAATTGTCCTGGTGGGGACAAGGGGGAGTCCCCTGGGGTGGGGGCGGTTTCAGGGTCACCTGAGCCACCAGGTTGTCCCTGACTGGGGGTGGGTTGGGGGTCCCGGTGTCACCTGTGCCACCAGGTTCTTATTTTTCCTCACTGGGGTTTGTTTGGGGGATCTCGGGGGTCCCTGGGTGGGGGTCCCAGTGTCACCTGTGCCACCAGGCGCTGGTTGTCCCCCAGCCAGGTCTCCCTGAGGGCGGCCTTGCGGTGGAACCTCGCTGCCAGCTGCTCCAGGTGCTGCTGCCGGAGCAGCTCCGAGCGCAGCGCCAGCTCCCGGCCGTGCCCCGCCTTCTCCAGCCGCTCCCAGGCCTGCGGGGACAGCGCCGTCACCGCGGCACCCGGGGCACCTGGCACCCGGGGCACCGGGGCACCTGGCATCTGTGTCACCTGGGCACCTGGCATCTGTGTCACCAGGGCACCTGGGGCACCTGTGTCACCTGGGGCACCTGTCAACTGTGTCACCTGGGGCACCTGTCAACTGTGTCACCTTCACACCTGGGGTACCTGCACACCTGGCACTCTTGGCACTTGTGTTACTGTGTCCCCCCCATGTCCCATGTCCCCCTTGTCACCCTGTTGATGTTGATGCTGTGGAACCCCTCATGTCCCCAATGTCCCTGTCACCCCCAATGTCCCCAAAGTCCCCGTGGCTGTCACCCTGCTGATGTCCCCAATGTCCCCGTGTCGCCATGGCTGTCACCCTGCTGATGTCCCCAATGTCCCCGGGGCACCTGGCACCTGTGTCACCTGGGACCTGCGGCACCTGGGGCACCTGTCATCTGTGTCACCTGTGTCACCTGGGGCAGCTGCACACCTGGGCTACCTGGCACCTGGGGCACCTGCACAGCTGCCACCTGGCATCTGTGTCATCTGTGTCACCTGGCACACCTGCCACCTGTCAACTGTGTCACCGGGACACCTGGCACACTTGGCACTTGTGTTACTGTGTCCTCTCCCATGTCCCCAGTGTCCCCGTGTCCCCGTGGCTGTCACCCTGCTGATGTCCCCAATGTCCCCGTGTCGCCATGGCTGTCACCCTGCTGATGTCCCCAGTGTCCCCAGTGTCCCCGTGTCCCCGTGGCTGTCACCCTGTTGATGTCAGCGCTGTGGGTCCCCTCCCTGGGCACGAACTGCCGCTGGTTGTTGGCGCGGAGGCGGCTCCGGAGCGAGAACAGCAGCACCTCCAGGGAGCCCTTGTCCTCGAACCTGGGGGGACCCAAAATACAGCAGGGGAACCCCAAAATACAGCAGGGGAACCCCAAATTCACTGAGAGAGCCCAAAAATGCACCAGGGGAACCCAAAATATACTGGGGGACCCCAAAAATACACCGGAGGAAAGCCCAAAATGCACCAGGCAACCCCAAAATACACTGAGGGAAGCTAAAAAACACCAGGGGGACCCAAAAATTCACCGGGGGAACCCCAAATTCACTGAGAGAACCCCAAAATACAGCGGGGGGACCCTAAAACCTACCCTGAGCCCCAGGGATGCCCCAAAACCTCTCAGAGAGAACCTGAAACCCCCTGGGGGGACCCCAAACCCCAGTAGGGAGACCCCAGACCCCTCTGGGCAGCTCCCAAACCCCATTGGGGAGCCCCCAGACCCCATTGGGCAGCCCCCAGAGCCCGTTAGGGAGCCCCCAGAGCCCGGCCTGGTGGGGGTCTCACCGGGGGGGTTTCTCGGTGGTGCGGTAGGCGCTGAAGGCCTGGAGCTGCCCCTGCAGGCCGGGGATGCCGCGGGGCAGGCGCCGGTCGGTGAGGAGCAGCAGCGAGCGCTGGATCCAGCCCAGCAGCTCGGCCGCCTGCGCCTCGTAGCGGCCGGCCAGGCCCTCGGCCTCGCGCGCCGCCTCCAGCACCTGCGGGGGACGGGGAACGGCTGCCTGTCCGTCTGTCTGTCCTCACACACATCCAACATTCATCTATTATCTACCTATCCATCCATCATCCATCCATCCATCCATCCATCCATCCATCCATCCATCCATCATCCATCCATCCATCCATCATCCATCCATCATCCATCCATCCATCCATCTGTCCGTCTGTCCGTCTGTCCATCCCCATGCCCCTCTGTCCATTTATCCCCCTGCCCATCCATCCCCCTCCCTCTCCATCCCTTTCTCATCAATCCATCCCTCTGTCCATCCCCCACCCGTCCCTCTGTCCATTCCCCATCTGTCCCTCCCTCCTCCCCAGCCCATTCCCGGGGATTCTGTCCAGTCCTCACCCCCCCGACACCATCTGCCCATCGTCTGTCTGTCCATCTGTCCATCGTCCGTCCGGCCATCCACCGTCTGTCTGTCCATCTGTCCATCTGTCCACCTTTTCCTCCTCCCCCCGTTCCCTTTCCATCCACCTGTGCGTCCATCCCTGCGTCCATCCCTGTGTCCCCCCATCCTGGGTCCACCCCATGTCCATCTGTCCACCCCGTGTCCGTCTGTCCACCCCGTGTCCCCCCCGGACCTTCCCGTCCATCTATCCGTCCGTCCATCCCTCTCTCCATGCCCTCCATCCTCCTCTCCATCCCCCACCCGTCCCTCTCTCCATCCCCCATCTGTCTCTTCCTCCCCCCTCGCCCATTCCCGTGGATTCTGTCCCCACCCCCCCCAACACCATCTGCCCATCGTCTGTCTGTCCATCTGTCCATCGTCCGTCCGGCCATCCACCGTCTGTCTGTCCATCCCAAACCCCCCCCAGAACCCCCCAGGACCCCCCAGGAGCCCTCACCCCGCGGTTTTCATCTGGCACCAGGCCAGCAGCGCGTCCTTGGCCGATTTCCGCTCCCGCGTGTCCCCGGTCTCCACGCTGATGTCCTGGATCTGGGGGGGGGCCAAAAATGGGGGCAGAGACCCCCAAATTGGGGTCAAGGACCCCCCCAAAGTGGGTCTGGAACCCTCAAAATGGGTGCAAAATCTCGTTTTGGGGGTCAGGACCCCCAAAAGTTGGTGTAGGATGACCCCAGAAGGAGCCTGGGGAAGGTCTGGGGATTTCTGTGACCAAACTGAGACCCCCGGGTGGGCTTGGGACCCCCCAAAATGACCCCAAACACCCCAGAGCAGCTCTAGGACCCCCCTAAATGACCCCAAACACCCCCAGAATGGGTTCAGGACCCCCTGAAATGACCTCAAACCCCCCAGGGCAGCTCCGGGACCCCCCTAACTGACCCCAGGGTGGGTTTGGGACCCCCAAAATGACCCCAAACCCTCCAGGGCAGGTTCAGGACCCCCCCAAATGACCCCAAACCCCTCAGAACAGCTCCAGAACCCCCAGAAATTACTCCACAGCCCCCAGGATGGGTTTGGGACCCCCCTAAATGACCCCAAACCCCCCAGGGCAGCTCCAGGACCCCCCTAACTGACCCCAGGGTGGGTTTGGGACCCCCAGAAATGACCCCAAACACCCCCAGAATGGGTTCAGGACCCCCTGAAATGACCTCAAACCCCCCAGGGCAGCTCCGGGACCCCCCTAACTGACCCCAGGGTGGGTTTGGGACCCCCAGAAATTACCCCAAACCCCCTGGCGCCACTCCAGGACCCCCAGAAATGACCCCAAACACCCCCAGAATGGGTCCAGGACCCCCCGAAATGACCCCAAACCCCCCGGGGCCGCTCCAGGACGGGCACATCCCCCGCGGGGCGGGTCCGGGCCGCGCCCCCCGCCCCATTTCCCGCTGCCCGGGGGGTGCCGGGGGGGTCACCTGGAAGCGCAGGATGATGGTCCAGACCAGGCCGAGGGTCAGCCGGGGGTTGCCGTCCACGATGTCGTGCGAGCCCACGTTCTCCAGGTGCACGCGCTGCTCCCGCAGGAAGCGCAGCGCCTTCTCCACGTTCTCCAGGCAGTGGATCCGCATCCGGCCCCGCGTGGGGCGCGGCTGGGCGGGGGGCTCCGTCAGAGACCCCCCCGGGGCGGGGGGCACAGTCAGAGACCCCCCCCGGGGCAGGGGAGGACCATCAGAGACCCCCCCAGGGAAGGGGGGCATTGTCAGAGATGCCCCCCGGGACAGGGGGGCACCATCTGGGAATCCCCCCGGGGCAGGGGGGGATCATCAGAGACCCCCCCGGACAGGGGGGCATCGTTAGAGACCCCCTCAGGGCGGGGGGGCACCATCAGAGACCCCCCCCCCAGGGTAGGGGGTTATCGTTAGAGACCCCCCCCGGGGCAGGGGGGCATTGTCAGGGAACCCCCCAGGGCAGGGGGCTCCGTCAGAGACCCCCCCCCAGTGTAGGGGGGGCACTTTCAGGGATTTCCCCATTTTGGGGAGGGTCCCCACTGGCTGTTTCCTGTTTTTTGGGGGGTTCCTCTTTTGAGGGGGGTGTCCCCGATTTGGGGAGGGGTCGCACTCACCAGGGTCCCCCCCGAGAGCCCCTCGAGCAGCCGCAGCAGGAGCCGCCCGTCCCGCAGGTCGCTGTAAGGCCCCCGCGGGGCGGGTCCGGGCCGCGCCCCCCGCCCCATTTCCCGCTGCCCGGGGGGTGCCGGGGGGGTCACCTGGAAGCGCAGGATGATGGTCCAGACCAGGCCGAGGGTCAGCCGGGGGTTGCCGTCCACGATGTCGTGCGAGCCCACGTTCTCCAGGTGCACGCGCTGCTCCCGCAGGAAGCGCAGCGCCTTCTCCACGTTCTCCAGGCAGTGGATCCGCATCCGGCCCCGCGTGGGGCGCCGCTGGGCGGGGGGCTCCGTCAGAGACCCCCCCGGGGCGGGGGGCACAGTCAGAGACCCCCCCGGGGCAGGGGGGCATTGTCAGGGAACCCCCCAGGGCAGGGGGCTCCGTCAGAGACCCCCCCCGGGGCGGGGGCTCCGTCAGAGACCCCCCCGGGACAGGGGGGCATCGTCAGGGAATCCCCCGGGGCGGGGGGCACAGTTAGAGACCCCCCCCAGGGCAGGGGGTTATCGTTAGAGACCCCCCCAAGGGCAGGGGGCATTGTCAGGGAACGCCCCCGGGGCAGGGGGGCACAGTCAGAGACCCCCCCCAGGGTAGGGGGGGCACTTTCAGGGATTTCCCCATTTTGGGGAGGGTCCCCACTGGCTGTTTCCTGTTTTTTGGGGGGGTTCCCCCTTGAGGGGGGTGTCCCCGATTTGGGGAGGGGTCTCACTCACCAGGGTCTCCCCCGAGAGCCCCTCGAGCAGCCGGGGGTCCCTTTTTGGGGGTCTCTACAGGGATTTCCCCATTTTGGGGAGGGTCCCCATTGAGGGGTTCCTGGTTTTTGGGGGGTTTCTGTTTTTTGGGTGGGTTCCCCTTTGAGGGGGGTGTCCCCGATTTGGGGAGGGGTCTCACTCACCAGGAACGCCCCCAAGACCCCCTCGAGCAGCCGGGGGTCCCTTTTTGGGGGTCTCTACAGGGATTTCCCCATTTTGGGGAGCTCGGGGGTTTTGGGGTGATTGAGGGGGTTTGGGTGTTGAAATTTGGGGTGTTTCCCCCGTTTTCCCACACTGTGCCCCCATTTTGTTTTTTTCCCCCATTTTTGGGGTTTTCCCCGGATTTTTTAGGGACCATTCCCACATTTTGGGGTTCCCCCATCCCTATTTTTGGGGTCTCCCTATTTTTTTGGGGTGTTTCTTCCTCTTTTCTGGACTTTTCCTCCTGTTTTGAGGGACTTTTTACCCCATTTTTGTGGTTTTCCCCCATTTTTGTGCTGTCCCTTCACTTTTTTGGGCAGAATTCCCCATTTTCAGGGCCAATCTCCCCAATTTTTGGGTTCCCCATCCCCATTTTTGGAATCTCTCCTATTCCTGATGCTCTTCCCATCATTTTCTGTGTCACGTTCTTCATTTTTTTGGGGTTGTTTCCCCATTTTTTACACTTTTCTATCACTTTCTTTGTGTTTCCCTCACATTTTTTTTGCCCCCACAACATTCCAGGGCTCCCAATTCCCATTTTTTGGGATTCTCCATATTTTGGTGAGTTTTTCCTCAATTTTTTTGGGTTCCACTCCCATTTTTTTATCTTTTCCCCCCATTTTTGTGTGGTTTCTCCCTTTTTTTTTTGCTTTTCCCCAAATTTTTGAACTTTTCTCCTTAATTTTTATACTTTTGTCCCACTTTTTGTGTTTTCTTCACATTTCTTCCACTTTCCCCCCAACATTTGAGCTTCTCCCCCAGTTTTTGTGCATTTCCCCTCATTTTTTTCACTTTTCCCTCAATTTTTCCCTTTTCCTCCAATTTTTTTACACTCCCCCCCAAACTTTTGTGCATTTCCTACAAATTTTTCCACTTTCCCCCAATTTTTCACTGCCTCCCCCACTTTTCTCCACTTTCCTCCCAAATGTTCTACATTCCCACCCAATTTTAGGATTTCCCATCACTTTTTCCTCTTTCCCCCCAATTTTTTCCACTTTTCCTCCTCACTTTCTCTGCATTTTACCCCAAATTTGACATTTCTCCTCACTTCCCTCACAATCCCCTCATTTTTATAAGACTTCCCTCTATTTTTTCCATTTTCCCAAACTTTTCCTCCCTTTTCCCCATTTATTTTTGCATTTTTCCCCATTTCTTCACTTTTCCCCCCACTTTTCCCATCTTTTCCCACCCCACTTCCCATCACTTTTTCCTCTTTCCCCCCAATTTTTTCCACTTTTCCCATGACATTTAAATTTTCCTTCTCACTTTCTCTGCATTTTACCCCGAATTTGACATTTCTCCTCACTTCCCTCACAATCCCCTCATTTTTATAAGACTTCCCTCTATTTTTTTCCATTTTCCCATACTTTTCCTCCCTTTTCCCCATTTATTTTTGCATTTTTCCCCATTTCTTCACTTTTTTCCCCACTTTTCCCATCTTTTCCCACCCCACTTTTCCCCTCCCGTTTGCCCCATTTTTTCCCCATTTCCCCCCATTTTTCCCCTTTCCATCCTTTGTCTTTTTTGCATTTTCCCCCATTTTTTTGCCTTTTTTCCCCACTTTTTTCATCTTTCCCCACCCCAATTTTCCCCTCCTGTTTCCCCCATTTTTTCCCCATTTCCCCCATAATTTTCCCCCCATTTTTCCCCAATTTTCCCCCATCTTCCCCCCCATTTTTCCCCCATTTTCCCCCATCTTCTCCCCCATTTTTCCCCAATTTTTCCCCATTTTCCCTCATTTTTTTCCCCATTTCCCCCCATTTCCCCCGGGGGTCTCCCCCTGTCTGAGCCCCCCCAGGTGTGCCCCCCCCCCTCCCTTACCTGCGCTGCGGCCGCGGCGCGCGCTGAGCCCGCGGCAGCTCATCACACCCCGGGGGGCGGGGCCTGCGGGACACGCCCCCTCCGCCGTCACCACGGCAACGCCTCCGGGACACGCCCCCCTCCCTGCTTGTTGCCATGGCGACACGCCGGAGGCCACGCCCCCCCTCCAGGGGTTTTCCCGCCACCCGCGCTTCCCGCCCGCCAGGGGGCGCTCGCGGTGTGAGGGGGGCAAAGATGGCGGAGGCGGCCGTGAGGGGGGTGAGGGGGTTTTGTGGGTTTTTTTGGGGTTCTGTGGGGTTTTGTGGGGTCAGGGATCACTAGAGAGTGTTGCGGGAGGTTTAGGGGTCCCTGGGGGTCGTTACGGACGTTCTGAGGGGTCACTAAGGAGGGTTGTGGGGCTTGGCGGGTATTGGGGGTCTCTCTGGGGGTCACTGTGAGGGGTCAGTGGTCACTAAAGTGGGTTGGGGGTCCCTGAGGTGTCTCTATGAGGGGGCGAGGGTCCCGAAGGAAGTTTCTGAGGGGATTTAGGGGGTCTCGGGTGGTGTTGGGGGTCCGCAGAGAGGTTTGGGTGGGTCTTTGGTGGTCTCTGGGCTCCCCTGGAAGGAGAGGGGTCTTGGGGAAGGGGCTTCGGGGGAGTTTGGGGTTTTTTTGAGGGGGGATTTGGGGTCTCCCCACCTCTTCCGACCCTGCAGCTCCTGGAGCAGCTCCTGGTGGCCCTGGGGACCCCCAAAAACGGGGAGCCCCGACGGGGAGCTCTGCTGGTGGCCCTGACGGCCGGGGGGGCCCTGGGGGGGCCCCTCTGCACCCTCACAGGTGGGTGGGGGGTCCTGGGGGGGTCCTGGAGGGTCCTGGGGGGTCCAGGCTCCCCTCAGACCCCCTGACCCCCCCTTTTCCAGTGGCAGCCACAGGACCCCTCAGCCGTGACCTCGACCCTGAAGCGCTGGGGTGGGGTAAGAGACCCCCAAAACCCCCCAGAGACCCCAAAACCCCCAAGAGACCCCCCCGAGACCCCCAAATCCCTCTGAGACCCCAAAACCCCTCAGAGACCCCCCCCAAAACTGGCAGAGCCCCCAAAACCCACTCAGAGACTCCACAATCTCCTCACAGAACCCCCAAAGCCCCCCGCCCGGGGGTCCCTGTGGCAGCTCCTGCACCGGACCAGCCTCGTGCACCCCGAGGTACTGAGGGGGGGTTTGGGGGTCCCCAGAAAGGGGAGGGGGTTCCTCAGTGATCCCCCCACACCCCCCCAGGTCGAGTTTCATTTCTGTGTCAGCATCGATGGGAACGTCACCTCCCGAACCCTCAGGTGAGACCCCCGGGACCCCCAGACTGGGGACACCCCCACCCTGGGGTCACCCAAACTGGGACCCCCAAACTGGGGACACCCCCACCCTGGGGTCACCCAAACTGGGACCCCCAAACTGGGGACACCCCCACCCTGGGGTCACCCAAACTGGGACCCCCAAACTGGGGACACCCCCACCCTGGGGTCACCCAAACTGGGACCCCCAAACTGGGGACACCCCCACCCTGGGGTCACCCAAACTGGGGTCACCCACTCCTGGGGACCCCCTAATTTGGGGTGTCCCCCCACTGTGTCCCCCAGCCCGGAGCCCCCCTGGGCACAGGCGGGAATGAGGCTGAGGGTGCAGAGCCGGCACTTCACTGGGTAGGACTGGGAGGGACTGGGATGGACTGGGATGGGACTGGGAGGGACTGGGATGGACTGGGATGGGACTGGGAGGGACTGGGATGGGACTGGGAGGGACTGGGATGGACTGGGATGGGACTGGGAGGGACTGGGATGGGACTGGGAGGGACTGGGATGGACTGGGATGGGACTGGGAGGGACTGGGATGGGACTGGGAGGGACTGGGATGGACTGGGATGGGACTGGGAGGGACTGGGATGGGACTGGGAGGGACTGGGATGGACTGGGATGGGACTGGGAGGGACTGGGATGGGACTGGGAGGGACTGGGATGGACTGGGATGGACTGGGATGGACCGGGATGGACTGGGATGGACTGGGATGGGCTG